GGGGGGTCCCGAGCCTTGCTCTCCACCCGCCATACGCGAGCTTCTGCTGGATGGAAAAATTGAGCCACAACTGGCGCCACGCTTGCGCGTTTTGCTACAGTGGAGCCTTGTGAAGCTTGAAAATTTGTCGTTGGAAAAAAAAACTCCGCTGTCAACCAAAATAAAATCTTCAACGTGCCTTGCGAACGGCGTGAACATCACGTGACCGAGACCTGCAAAACGGCTTATCAGACTCCCGCTAATTAACTTCGGTGACCTCTGATGACCTGATACTTGGAACACCATTTTGGCAAGCGCAAGTTCAAAGTGTCAACGAGGACGAGTCAAGCCTAAGCGGAGAAAAATGTTACCCGTGCAAAGCCGCAAAACAGGAAGTGGGCGGTTACATAACGATTGTTAGTTTGGCGAGTCGGGTAAACAGAGTGCGTTTGTATGTATAGCCTGCGCACAGACGCCTCTTTGCGCGTCTCCCAAATGGATCGTCTGCGGCAGGAGGGGCGGGGCGGGGGCGTGGTTTCGGGTATGCGGAGAGTGTGGGGGGGGGGTGTTGTTGTCCCCCCCCCAAAGTGGAAATTTCCAACGAGTAGCTGTCGCACCTGCACGAAGCTTTTAGCGTCCGTCCGTCCGTGCGCGCGGATGTTGACACAAGATGAGAGGAGCCTTTCAGGCAGTCGGCGGGCTTCCCACGCCCGCCAAGACCTGCGACGCCCTCCTCCACGCTTTTGCGAAAGCCCTTTTCAGCACGAGCGCTTGAGCGGGAGCTCCGTGTACTCGTTGAGCGCACGAGTAGAATGAGCGGGCCGCCCTCACGCTAGCTTCACGCCAATAAAAATCATTTTATGATGTCACGAGTGGCACGCCATTTCATACTAGATGGCCTACGAGGGAGGATAAACGTGTATCTTAAGATGGATGTCAAGGAAATGGAATCAATAAACGCTCAGAGAATTTGCTTTCAAAGCATCTGCCCACATATTGGAAGGACGTGGAGCAAATGCTGAAAGGTTGCATTTGTGACGTTTTTGTCTTTTGTGGCGTTTCAGATGTCGGAGGAGGCGTTCGCGGGCGTGACGGCGCTGACCTCGCTGGACGTCAGCAACAACAAACTGCGCTGGCTTCCCAAGAGTCTGGACTTGTCTCGAGTGACCAATCTGACCGTAGCCAACAATCCTTGGAGCTGCACCTGCCAGCTGGCGCCGCTGCGCAGGTAAAACCGCGAATCTTTCCAGCATTTTCTCAATCAAACACAATGCCTCCTAAATGCGCCGAAAAACCGAGACATTCACAATCGGCGACAAGCGGACGGGAGGCGCTGTATGCTACGGCTCTTCTCAGAGCCGGCGGTACAAATTTCACAACTCAATAAGATGAAATCAACACGTGTGGCCGCAGGTGGATGGACGGCAACAGCCGCAAGCGAACGGACGCCGCGTGTGCCTCGCCGCCGGCGCAGAGAGGCAAGCAGGTCCGAGACAGCGCCGCCTTCGCCGCCTGCCGGCTCAAGCCCAAAAGAAGCAAGACGGCCGCACGCCACTGAACGGGCGAGCAGCGGAAAGGGGAAGGTGGGGATTGTTGGGGGGGAGCAGTTGCATGACTCCACCCCAGTCACGCTTCAGTCGCCAATTTCACCAGCCGCAGAAGGCCGCACATCACGCCAACATATGCAAAGATCTGCTTTTACTTTGCAAAACAATCATCAAGATTTTTTTTTCCCTATATTTTGATGTTTTGATTTTAAACCAAACAAGTGACGGATTCACCATCAATCTATATTTGAGCATTTTCTCTGAAGTCAATTGGTAGTTGTTTGATACGCCACCGCTGGTCTAAACACGGAATTCTGATTCATGTTGCGTTTGTGTTCAGCGGAAAACTCCATCCGTTTTGATCCATCTTCGGGGGTGGCCATTTTGCCTCTTACTTTCGGCGGGCGGCCCAGGTAACGACCATCACGGATTTTCTGGCTTTGCTCACGTGGCATTCGTAAGGTTCGCCTTCGGTGGGCACTGTGATGTCATTTTCAGTCGACAGCAAGAGGCAAAATGGCCGCCACCTTTGATAAATCAGAACGGCTACATTTTGCTGCTTCGTTCAAATTCCGCAAAGACAATATTTATCACAATGCCGTGTTAGACTCGTGAGGGCACATAGAACTTATTATTGTCAAGAAACTGTTTCTTTTGACTTCCCCTTGCAAATCGTGGTTGGTTGCAGGCAGCCCTCGACAAGACAAGAAAGTCATTGAGCCTGCTTGGGCGCCGGCTTGATGGGAATGTGTTCATGAGTCAGCATAATTAGGATGGAGATCGCCTGCCAAGTGGCCCAATTGCACAAGTTGACGTGACGTCTGCTTAATCGGATCATGACTTGACTGCACCAGCTTGAAATTTAGTGGGATGATGGGGGGAAGGGGGGGGGGGAACCGCACGTGACTTCCTCCCACCACCGCCGCCAACTTGCTGGCAGACGAATTAATTTTTTTTCCCCCCGCCCCGGTTTTTCGGCAGCCACACAACTGAACATTTCGGTGGGCTTCGGCCCAGCGGGCCCAGTCGACAAATAACACAGGCAACACCCCGTCGCTCGCCGCCAGCTTGTTTGCTCACGCTAACACCTTCCCAATCGCCCCGCCTGAGCTTCACGTTTGTGCTCCATGCCTCAATAAAAGAAAACATTTCACCACCTTTGCCCATTTTGGTTATTACTGCTGCCGGACCACATATCCCCACACCCCTCCCCGCAAAAATCCTAAAAGTTTGACAAGGACAACAACTTGAAATTGATTCAGCAATTGGTGTCATTTGTTTCCCTCTAGTGGACAAATGACAAAGTGCATGCACTAACTTTTTATATAATATCAAGTGATGGAGCAATGAAATAATGGATGATAAGTCAAAAAAAAGGGGGGCAAGTGGACACATGCACTCCCTGGCTCCCTCACTCACCATGATTTCCTTGATACCCAAGGTGGAGATGACGCTCTTGACCAGCTCAGGAGGGCACGGCGAGCCCGCGATGATGCCTGCGCACACGCAAAGGCCTCATCATTTTTTTGCGCAGCCAAATGAATTACTGCACTGGATGTTGGTCTGCTGTTCAGCAGTTTTGTGCTGTCCTTGAGCTTACCTCCGACCACAGACGATAGGTCGTACTTGTCCACGTCGGGCTGACTGGTCATGTCCACGTACATGGTGGGCGTCCCGTACACAAATGTACACCTGAAAGACAAAAGGACGCTGTGATGCCAATCCATGCCAGAGCGCTTGTAGACAAACAAGGGACTGGTCACAAGGGTGCAGTCGGTCTTACTTCTCGTTTTGCATGGCGTCCAGGTTGTCTTTGCCGCTGTACCAGGGCGAAGGGAAAACCAGCGAGATGCCGTGGACGGCCATACAGACGCCGCCCCCCACGGAGCCGAAGCAATGGTAGAGCGGGACGGGGAGGCAGACACGCGTGGCGGGCTGCGGCCGACAAAGCGCGGCGAGGTCAGCCGAGGGAGCGGCAGAGCGGGTGTTGGCATTTGCGGTTTGGCGGCGTCTCACCCGCCAGTGGAAGCCGACGCGCTTGCCCACGAAGAAAGCGTTGTTCAGCACGTTGCAATGCGTCAGCGTGGCGCCTTTGGGACGTCCCGTCGTTCCCTGCCAACAGACCAGCGCTCAATCACTAACCTTAGCTTATCATTATTCACAACAAGAAAATAACTCCAAACTAAAATTTAAAAATAATTTTTGTCAACGTAATAAAAAGGAACACGCGTTACCGAGGTGAACAGGATGTTGATGGGGTCATCGCAGGACAATTTATTCTGGAGCTCGTGCAACTGACGCTGGAAGCGACCATCGCCCGCCTGCATCACCTCGTCCAAGTGGAAGGTGCCGTCATGGCGGCCATCCAGGACGATCACGCAGCGCAGCTCGGGAAGTCTGCCAAGAGGACGGAGTCACACGCCATCATCGCTTGCAAGGTCCCGGGATGTCCCGATCGCTCGTACCGGCTGCTGCGAATGTCTCCGGGGGGCGACGTCGCCATCTCCGGGCAGATAAGCTGCAGCATCTCGCAGTATTTTTGCGTCTTGAATGCCTCCGGACACACCACTGCTTTGCAGCCCACCTACACGCACCCACAAATAAATGCAGTCACATGCAAACAAATCATCACACAGATAACGCGTTTCCTGCTGCTGTGTGTCTCACCTTTCGGAGGGCAAACTCGGCCTCCTCCAGTTGATAGGCCGGGTTGAGAGACACCTGCATGACAGAGAGGAAACGTCAAGCGAGCCGAACGTAGAGAGGCGGCGACGCCCCCGACACCCACCATGATGATTCCCGCCTTGGCCGTGGCGAACTGCATCAGGAGCCACTCGTACGTGTTGGGCCCCCACATGCCCAAACGCTCCCCGGGACGCAGGCCCACAGCCAGCAACCCGGCGGCGGCGCGCTCCACCTACACGTGCAGCAAGAAACAGCAGGAGCCCCAGAACTCACGCCTGCCAAAAACTAAGGACATGCTACCTCCTCAAACGAGCCCGTCGTGACGTCACACACAAGCGACGCACATATGCAAACATGAAAACGCACACACATGCTAGCACGCCACAACAAAAACAGAAACAAACAAAAAAAATTGGTGTTGAAAACTTATCTGCCAAGATGCGAAAGCTGTCAGCCATGGAAGTCCAAAGGAAATTAAATTAAAACAAATTGAAAAAATTATATTTTAAAAAAAACAGACAAACATGCCCATGACATTGTAAAATATCGTAATATTATTTTAATATTGAGCATTTAACTTATTTTCGACTCTTTTGAGCTTCCGTAGTCAGGATGCGCTAGAAAACAGCAGCCAGTGGACTCGTGGGCGGGCGCACGCACTCACGTCTTGGTGGAAGCTGGAGAAGGTCTTGCGCACGCCGTCCCGCACGAAGACGGCCGCCTCCCGATCGGGCCAGGCGTCGGCCGCCCGGGCCAGCGTGTCGCCCACGGTGGCGTTGAGCAGCGAGTAGGACGAGGTTCCGTGAGCGTAGCTGGTCGTCAGCGCGGGCACGATTGGCGGCGCATCCACGTGCACGCCGCTGCAAGTGCCACAACCACAAGCGTGTCACTCGGGCTCTGCAACCCTGCATGTTTGCGCTCGACTTGTTGGCGGTCGAGATACAAGGACCAGAGCCAAAACCCGCCTATCGCATACGCCCATTGAATTTATGCTTCCTAAAAACTCTGGCAAACATTCAGGACCCCCCCCCCACTGACCCCCCGCGGAAAAACAATAAATGAAAAAAACTTTTACAATGTGTGTGCAAATACTTGGCGGTGTACCGCGGCGGCGTGCTGTTGATGCTGGTGCTGACATTTCAGGCTCTGCAGCTTTTTTGTTTGTTTTTGTTTTTGTATCGCAGATGAACCGGAGAGAGTCCGATTACGTCCTGGCCTGCATGTCGCCAGTCAACGGCATGCAGCATAAAGACAAACAATTGACTGGTCTCATGACAATTGACAGGTCGCCAGTCCATTTCAGGGTCCTCGTAGACAAAAACGGACAGGCAGGTCGCGGTCAGTGTCACACATGGACAAAGAATGGATTGGTCGCCTGCGGGAAGCTTTTGTAATGTGGGCGCAGAGTAAAACAGGAAACAGACAAGCTGCACACGTGACCACCACCCGCTCTCTATCCTCATATCCCGATCTGAGATATGAAGTCCGAACTCCACATGCGCTCAACACAAGAGGCCATGTATGGGCTGTAGGGCGTGCTTCGTTTTTTTCCTCTTTTTCAATTGCATTCCATTAAAAAAGGTGCCTTTGAATGGTGGGGGACACTCTTGTCTCGTGAATGGTCACTTGTGACGTAAGCGTGACGCGGTGTGAGCTCGAGGGGAGCGCGGGTGTGCAATGGGTCCGAACGTCTACTTGGGAGGCTCCCAAAAAAAAAAGTTTAAAGTGGAACTCACCGACCGGTGGCAGCAAGCCCCCACGCGCGTGCATGTGGAGTCTTCCCCGCGCGTAGAGCGGCGGAATTGCCGAGGATAAAGATCCGGGACGCGATGTGACTGATCATGTTGGCTGCCTGCAGGGAACAGAGACAGAGAGAGAGTGGGGGGAGAGAGAGAGCAAGAAAAACCGAGAGACAAACAGAGGCAAGACATCCGGTGTTACACTCGTGCGCGGCCTGCAGATGGCGCACTGGGGCCGTTTTGTGGGGATCGGATCACGTGCAGATTTATCCGCTCCAAATCCACCCCAGTTATGCGACGCACTCATTTCACCAATGTCGTGAGAAAAAAAATAATCCGTTTCAAAAGGAATTTGGCCCGTTTGTCGATCTTTGGCACACGGGTTCTTTTATTTCTCGAAAAGTGGAATCAAGATCCAACACTTTGACATCTTTTCTTCTCTATCTTCCAACATCACAACTCAGTACAAATCGATTCTGCCTTTGATACTCTTAGACGCCTGAACAAACAAAAACATGAAAATAATAGGGGCAGCCATACCCCGTGTAAAACAGTTGGAATGAGACAAACTCCGGTGTGATCCGGGGTCGTCATAAAAGTTGGTATGTGTGAGGAGGCAGACAACTAATTCCCAAGTCCTTCATCCAGTAGGGCCGGTATAGTTGACGGCACTGTGATGCTCATCTCGGACGTGCAACGTCCGAGATGAGCATCCATATTTTGGGATTTTCTTGATGTGAAAAATTCTCTTTTGGCATCCGAATTTCATTGCACGAAGTGGAGATTCAAAAGTGTTGATCGGTGCGAGAGCCCGTTTTTCCCCGCACGCGCTCCGCGACTGGCCGGCTGCGATGGTGACTTGACAGATGGGTCACGGTCGCTGGTCAGAGAGCTCCTGCCTGAGTCCCTGGTAGCGCCCCTCCATGGCCATCAGCTGCGCGTGCGTCCCCTCCTCCATCACAACGCCGTTTTCCATGAAGATGACGCGGTCGGCTCGTTCCACGCTGCGCAGGCGGTGCGCCACCATCAGGACAGTGCATCCACAACGGACCACCTCCTCGAGGACCTGCAGGACACACACACACACACACACACACACACACACACACACACACACACACACACACACACACACACACACACAAACCCTTTTTTTGAACACTTGCACTGCACATAGAGTTAAAACAAAAACTAAAACCTACACTAAAACTAATTAAAAGCATGTTTTATATATATATATTCACTAAAACCTACACTAAAACTAATTAAAAGCATGTTGTATATATATTTTAGTATGTGTATCCCAGTACCATGTGTCCTTGTTTCATGTATCCTAGCTGAGGTAACCTTGTTGTAATGTACGTATCGGAGTTGCGCATGTCCTAGTTGCGCGTGTGCTAGGTCTAAGTGTTGTCGTTGCGTGTCGTGCATTGCCGCGCCACTGACGGCGTGTTGCGTGTGGGCGTCCATCTGGCTGGTGGCCTCGTCCAGGAGGAGGACCCGAGGTTGGCGCACCAGGGCCCGCAGCAGCGCCACGCTCTGCTTGTCGCCCTCTGACAGATGCGCGCCGCCCTCGCCCACGTCTGTGCACCACAAGAACAGCAAGTGAGCGGGAAGAGAAATGCCGCGCTTTCAGGCTGTGGCCACCTTTGTCTCCCTATAGGGGGGAAGCATACCTGCGTCATAGTCGGCCTCCATCTTGGCCAGCAGCCGGTCCGCTTTGATCTTGGTGGCCACCTCTCGCACCTGCCGGAAGTCGCAGTCCTCCAGGCCGTACTCCACGTTGTAGCGCAGCGAGCCGCGCATAAGAACCGGATTCTGGGGAACAGAAACCACCTGCGGAAAGGGCGCAACCATGACATCAGCACTCCCCTGGGATCCCACCATTCCAGCATCTGTTTGTTATTGCACTGGTCCTCATCTGGGGGAGAGGGGGCCCCTATCCCGGGTGACTTTGGGAGAATTCCACGTTCCAAGTTGAAGGCAGCTTGTAACATTGCTAATGGGGCATCGTTTCATGTTTCATTCACCTTACGATGCAGGTAGGCGTTGTCATACGCGTGCAGCGGCTGGCCGTCCAGCAGGATGTCCCCCCTCTGAGGGTCGTACAGTCGCTTGAGGAGTCCCACACAGGAAGTCTTCCCGCTACCCGACGGGCCCACCAGGGCGGTCACCTTTCCCGCCTCCAGCACCATGGACACGTCCTGAGCGCATTCGTCCGTGAGCTGGCCAAACGACAACACTCGTCAGGCCGCAGGCTTACCTTCAGCGCCGGTTCGTCCCCCGCTGTGGACGGGTAGCCAAAGGTGACATTCTGGAACACGATCTCGCCCCGCAGCGCGTCAGGCGCCAGGTGGCCGTCGGCTCGGCGTTTGGGCGACCGGTCCAGGTAGCTGAAGACTTTGGAGATGATGCCCAGCGTGGCCAATGTGTCACCGGAGCACACGAAGATCTCCTGATGGAGCAAGTCAACGATGGACTCCTTTCAACAAAACACTTCAATCGACTCCATGGAACAAAATGACACTCCAGTTATCACGGTGGAGATGTTTATTGTTTTTTTTTTTTTTTCCGTAAGTTTGTCCTCTTGGTCAAAAAAGCCAACTTCTACTTCTGAGAGAAAGCTGACATCTGTCCAAATTTGCAACCCTGTTACTATGGTGACAGTGACAGGTATTGTAAACAGCAAATAAAACATTTTTTATAAAAAAGTGCACCACTGATCGCAAATGTTCATTACCGGCCGCAAGCGTCACTCACCTTGAGGTTGTGTGACATGGGCTTCCGGTACAAGAGGAAGGTCAGGAGGGTCCCACCACTCAGCTGTCCTCCGGACATCAGTGAGCGAGCCGCGAGCAGCATCACCATCTTCGTCACCAAACTGCCCAACTGACAGATGAAAGGGATTAGAATGACGTTCGGGGCGGGAGGTCGTTCCGGTGTGAGAAACGGGGCGGACAGGTCGCCAGCCAAAGCGAACGCGGGAATGCCTCACCCTCCGCAAGAGGGTGAAGAAGGTTTTGTGTCGCCTGGCTCGTATTCTGATCTCTTGAAGGCGTTGGAGTTCTCGATGGAATCTTTGGGCTTCGTCCGATTGGCCGTGGAAGCTTCGGACTGTGCGGATTCCGCCCAGCGACTGATGACTGAGCTCTTTGAGGCGAGCCAGGCTATCCTGCTTCTGCTCCTTCAATTCCTGTCAGGGTTTTCCCTCATCAATCACGCCTCATCTTTTTCCATCCTATTTCACAAGTATGCATCCTCGTCTCCGGCTGACCTTGTGGTAACGGACTTGTTGTCTTTGCAGCGCGGCCAAGACCGGGATCTCGACGCACGCCAGCGCCGTGAGCGGACGCGACTGATACAACATGGCCACCAGCATCAGGAGGGTCTTGATCGAGCTGCGCAGCACGGCATTGAAGTTCAGCGACACCGTCAGGCCCAGCTGGTGCACGTCCGATTCCAGGCGGGAACAAAGACTTGCTGTCACAAAAAAAAAAACCCCAAAAAAAACATCATCTGAAATTGACTGGCAAACAGTTGAGGGTGTACCCCGCCTACTGCCCAAAGACGGCTGGGATCGGCTCCAGTACGCCCACGACCCTTGTGAGGATAAGCCGATTAGAAAATGGGATGGATGGATGGAAAAACATACTCAAAAAAGCCATGACACAGCACTTCATATCATGCTCACCTGGTTGGTTCTCCTGGAAGAAGAGCACTTCCTGGGACAGCACCGTGCGGAACACCGACATCCTCAGACGCTTATTGAGTCGAGCATGCGTGATATTAAAGGATCCTGACCTCAGGCCAGAGAAAATGCAGCTGCGGACAAACAGGACACTCCGTTAGGTCAGCTTGTTACTGAGCCAGCTACTTTGTTGCCTGGCGACGGCGCTACCTGCCCACAAAGAAGCACGCCAGGATTCCCAGCGTAGTGTAGAAGCCGTCGAGCGTTCCGCCTCGCAGCATGTCTATTACCGTGCCCTGGAACAGCGGGATCAATGTGTCACCTGTCCACAAACAACAATGCCACAGCAACACAATTTAGAAAGGGCAAGTGTGCGTCACTTGAGAAAACGTCAGTTATTTTTACATGTCCACTTTACATACTTGTCAGATTTTCGTCCCGGACAAACTTAATGGTGGATATTTTGAAGAAGGGCTTCCCAAAGTATCATGTATGCATGAGAATGGTGCAATAAAATTTGATGGATACGCGAATCATGAAACTTACAGGCTACGGTGAGGATGATAAAGCCGCAAGCCGCAGTCAGTAAAAGGAAGTCGGGTCTGAATTGCTGAAGCAGCCTGGCGAGCAGACGGCGAGTGTCCAGTGCCACTTTGCCCTCTTCCGTGAACCCGCCACCACCGCTGAAGGCTGTTTCCCAAAAGAGGCAACTCAATGCCGAGCACAGCGACACTTGCAGCTGACCGGCCAACCCGGGGGCCGTGACAGGGTCCCCCCCAAGCCCGCTGCCGCTTCGGAGTAAGCAGGGCAGGAGAACAAGCAGTGCGCAGAGTCTGCGTAGCACCACCTGCTCCTTCTTGGGGGCCACTGCACGCGTCATGACGTCAAGGAGCGCCCACTTGAGCGCCGCGGCGGCCCACTGCTCGGCCGCGCTGGCACCGCGGCCTCGCACCAGCAGCAGGCCACTCCACAAGGTCCACGTGAGAGATGCGTCCACAAACAGCAGCAGGAAACCAGAAAGGATGACTGACGACATCTTGCAGCCTGCAAGACAAGCAGCCACTCAAACGTTCACTTAATAATGCATCAATAGGTTTGACATGCATATGAGCAATTATGCCGTTGAGAGGCTTTTGTTATTATGTTAAATGTGGGGCAATTAAAATGAGGGGGGGGGGAGACAAACTTAACCTAAGTCCCAAAAGAGAAAAAAAACAACAAAGAGCAAAACACGTCTTGAATATTTCACTTTTTTTCTTCAAGCGAAGGGGGAAAACGACGAAGATCAGAAATAGGATTCCTGGAGTGAAAAAACAAACAAACTCAGAATGACAAACTTGAAAAGATCCTTATCGATGAGAGTTATGCTCTCAACACAATCGGCATTTTGTATCATAAATGCCACAAAACAAGTTTCACTCACCCTTCCAAACATGGAGACAAACGTCGAGAACCTTCCCTGTTCAATCTTCTTTCACTTTCGCCGCCAACGACCTTGACTCCACATTTTTTTCCTTTCTTGTCGCTAGCTAATATTTGCAACGCGGAACTCGACCACACGGTCAATTTGTTTTGCTGAACATTCGCATGTTGTAGATTTAATCTTGGCCGTATCAAACAAATTGAAGAACGAAAGGAAAGCGAAAGTCACTGGGCGGAAGTTGAAAAAAAAAGTTAACGGAAGTGGTTGCTACAGGTTAAGTGGGCGTTTACCACCACTAATTTAAAACAATAGTTGATTTGTTTCAAACAAATAATAACAGTAATTTCATGTTCATTTTACCGAGGAAAATGTGATGTTCAAAACTAAGAACATGCAGTGAAACATCCGGGACAAACGTGAAAGCATCGCTGATGTGGAGGTTGCGTGAATGACGTCACGAAAGCAGGTCTTCTTGAGTTTAAAAACGATTAAATAACAGAAGAAAATACTGTAAACGAAACGTAATAATAATAATATATTGAATTGATAAGATTTATAATAACATTCAAACAAGATTAAAACAAAATGATAACATTTGCAGTTTTTAGCTTCTCACATCACTCACTCATTCAAATGATGATAAATGATAATATAGTAAGAGCATTACAAAACTATGAATCAAATAACCAAAGCTAAGAAGAGTATTATAATATTCTAATAATGACAGAAATGAAAATTGTGCAGTAAGACTCTAATATCAAAACAATCATCTTATAAGAGTAATGTACTAAGACTATAAAATGCTTTCCATTAAGATGATGACAAATTTAAATAAAGAAATCTGATCCAAATCATACAATGAAAGTAATAAATAATGGTAATCTCAGTTGCCCGACAAAGATCAGACGAGACTTTGTTTTGTTTGTTTTCCAAAGAAATAATCGCATGCCTGTCGAAGCTTGGCTATTGTAATGTTTATGATACAGTATCACAAGCACAAATCGGTTTGTTTTGTTTATGTCATAGCGCCACCTGGCGGCCTGCAGACGTCAAGAGAGTCAACAACTGGGTCATGGCAGCTTTCTTCTTGACTCGCTCTTTGGCCGCCATGTCGGGCACGCTCGTCGGCATCCATCCACCAAAAGGCGACGACCAGGAAGATGGCGGCCGAGGCCACGATGGCACTGCAGGCCAAGAAGACGTAGAAGTACTGCCCCGTCGAGTCCACCAGGATTCCTGCAGGCACACCGACGTTTCCCACAATCATCTCGGTCAACAGGGGAACAGTCGCCTTGTGATGTGTGACACGTTATGTAAATCGTGAGCTGTCATGTGGCTTGCGATGTCATGTGACACATGTCATAACACGACATGCCTGTCCCGATATTTGCCGTTTGACGCGCGGTGATGTGCGGCAAGTCACATTTGTCGTGCGGTGTGACACATGACGTGTGAATTATGAGTGGGGGCCGCATCGAACTGTCGGAGCCATGCTTACCGGCCAGCGGAGGTCCGACCAACAACGTGACGCTCTCCATGATGGCGAGGAGGCCGAGCGCCGAGGCGAAGCGACTCATATCAACCACGTCCATCAGGACTGTGAACATGAGGGAGCCCACCACGCTCATGGAGAGCCCGTAGAGCAGCACGTAGCTCAGCAGCACCGGGAACGTCGGCCCTAGGCAGCACACGGCGTTGCTCAGCCCGTTGACCAGCAGCGCACCAGAGAACACGTACACGTGGCGGCCCCGGAACCACGGCAGGTTGAAGATCACGCCGACAGGTGGTCGCACGGCGATGTTGACCAGTCCCAGCACGGAGAGCAGGGACGCCGCCCGGCCCGCGTCCATGTGGTTGTCAGTGGCGTAGGGCACCAGGTAGATCAGCGGCACCACGAAGCCCAGCATGGTCCACGTGATGGCCACAGCATAGACGCGATAGCGCCGGTTGTGCAGCAGCTGGTCCAGGGCCATGTGTTTGCTCACACAAGCTTGAATCCTGGTGCATGCAAAGGCAGGAGGAAAGGCATGAGAATCGGCTTACAGATGGCGCGAGTCTCAAACGAGGGCTCTTTTTTGCTTGACAGCACACGCAGAATCCCTCACCTAGACGTCCCGACGCAACCTGACTCGGGCGACGGCTCGCGACCCACCGCCGGCGTCTCCGTCGGCGTCTGCGCCAGAGGCCGCATCACGGCGCCGCATACGCAGCAGTTGAGCAGTACGCCTCCCAAAACCAGAAAGCTTCCCCTCCATCCCAGCTCGCCGTGCAGGAAGTTGGCCAGCACCGGAAGCGTACACAAGCCCAGCGCCGTGCCCGTAGATGAGATGGCATTGGCGAAGGCGCGGCGTCGCACAAAATACTGACCCAGGATGGTCACGGCCGGCTGGTAGCTCAGGCAGAAACCCAAACCTGGAAGCTCAGGCAAAGAAAAAATATCCCCAGCACGGATTCAAACCCGGAACCTCAGCCTGTGCTAATTTGCGAAATTTCTGGTTGCGCTCACCGGTGATGACGCCGGCCGTGACGTAGAGTTGGCCAATGGAGTGCGTGAAGGAGCTGGCGGCCATCCCCAGTCCGCTCAGGACTCCGCCCAACATGACGGTCGCTCGGCATCCCAGTCGCTCCAACAACACGCTGCACACGGGGCCTGAAAGCAAACCAACAACGAAACGTGACATCCCACTCGAGATATTGTATTCGGTAGAACTCCATCTGAATGATCCCACTCCATCTCAAGTACCCGAACCAGATGCCAGGGCTCGCGAGCTTTTGAAAAGTGCGAGCTGGTTACCAGTTACATACACACGTCTGAAAACAAAAAAAAAAGTGCTGAAATTATTTTGGGGTAAGTCATTTCCATGAAGACCTTTGCACTAGCCGCCACCTTTCATGACACTCTATCTCCCTTTTTCAACCCTCGCCCTCCTCAATCTGGATTGCTTCCAACTAATCTCCTCTGGCCATTTCTGCTCCGACTACTTTGTAGCATCACAAATGTGATTACTACTCTCCTATCGATGTGTGGAAATTGTGTGTACTGGGTACATGGACTGGTTTAGGCGACCTCCCGCATGGAGCACGGCCGTCATGATGGAGGGCACCCAGGAAGTTTGGCTGTTGGAGGCGTGGAAGTCCCTCTGCAGGTCGTTGTAGAAAATCCCCACGCAGGACGGGAAGGCCAGCGTCAGCGCCAGAACCAGCATGGTGGCCACCAGCACAACCCAGCCCCAGCCACCGTCCGGGGCTTGGGCCCCCGCGGCTCGTCTTTCGTCGTCCGGCCCGTCTGAGGCCATCCCGTTGATGCGCGCGCTGACCCGCTGCTCATTGTACGCTAGGCGGCGCCGTCGAGGCTCCGGTCGCTCTCGCCGCCTCTGCCGCGGGCCATGGCGCGCCTTCAAGCGGGAGCACAACGTCAACACAAGTCGCAAGAGCAGCGGAAACGCAAGCAGGGAGAGGGAAACGCTTGATTCCTCCTGCTTTATTTTATTTTGCAAAGTCTAAACAAAGGAGCGTTTCAACGGGGCTGTGGAGATTCCGTTTTGGTACTGACTGCAACAGTTTTTCAAAATAACCATTTTGTTTGGGCCGACAAATGTTCTTCGCGCTTCGTTCGGTGTTCATTTATTTTTCCCAGGGGCATTCTGTGTTTTTCTTTTAACGCGGTTGGCTGCAACCCGTATTTTGGTGTCAAAAGGAACGAAGAAAGTCAAGCGCCGCGCGAAGGGGAAAACCCGATGAAAACGAGCAGGCATCACTACTCGCCAGCTCCATCCGTCTCTCGCGCATCGCAATGACGATGTGGTTCTTTTTCTCGGACTAGATTGCGGACACTTTTGGATCGTAATTATTCTCGAAGTGGAGAACATTCTGGCCCTGAAGGGGAACATTATGACGTCACCAGGCACCGGATACGATTCGCTCAGGTTGAAATGGCACTTTTTGTCACGCTCTCGCATTTTGAGCCCAATGTAATCTTTTTGCTTTCACCTTGCGTGTTCGTGACGACAGCCGTTGACGTCTTACGCGAGGCGTGGAAGTGCCTCGGTGTCCGAAATGCGCAGAAGCGGCTTGCGAGTTTGGACGAGCGGGGGGCGTGGGGGGTGTTATAATTGCAAGCAGGAAGTAGGCGAAAACAAGAACAGAGGCTTCCTCACTCACTCCTTCTCGTCTCAGGTCCTCCTCAGTCGGCTGCAACCGTTCGCTCACGTGGTTCGCCTTCGTTTGGCGTTGCAGAGCCCCCGCCCCCCCCCCCCAAAAAAAAAAACAGCCGTAGAAAAGGGATGGTCGACCGGAGGTGGGGGATGTGACGTGCCAGGGAGGCCTTCGGTGCGGTGTACCAGGGTGGGGCACCTCAAGACCACCAAATGCTCCCTCCTCACATGTAGGTCAACGTGCCCAGCCTCGCGCGCACACACAGTAGATAACATGCGCACCACGCGTGAAGTGTTGTCATTTCAACAGATCGGGTTCCCAGACTCTATTTCGAGGTCCGTTCAGTCATATGAGACCTCCGGGGGCGGGGCTCAGTGGTCCCGAGTACTCAAAAACAACAGCACTCTCCTCTTTTTGTGTGAAGCATATTGCGTTGCCTTTTGCATGAAAATTGCTAGATAAATAAAACCGCCTTGCCTTGAAGGCTTTACTGACTCGGCTTGCTGCTGCCGCATCAGGAAAAAAAAGATGAATATCACTTTATAACGGATACGATACACATGAATGAATTACTATGAATATGTGAATGACATAAAATAGCAACATACATACATAGCCAAAATTAAACTAACACTAAAATAAAAATAGTTATATTGGACCTATTTGAAAAGTAGTCAGAAAGATGTCCTTTGGCCAGGTTGTGCAAATTTACAACCTATGGCCTGCAGGCCAGTTACAGCCCTTTAAATTTTTTAGCCGCCCAAAATAACATTTAGCTTGGCCCACATTGCAATTTCATTTTTTTTTCTTAAAAAAAACTATTTTTAACAATCACTGGAGATGAACATGATGCAAGGGCGACCCTTTTCCTGTGGGTCAAGCTGCTGACCACCCCAACATTCGTTTAAACCTTCTTCACGGAAAGCTGACACCCCTGTTGTAGGCTGTACGTATTTTCTACACCTACATTGGATATGGATCGCCTTCATACCCGTCTCCACACCCACTGTCCCATCTTCATCGGCGTCTTGTCAGATGGGTACATACCTGTTTTGTTTTGGCACATGCCATCACACCGGTCTTGTGGGCTTTATACCTACCTTGTGCTTGTCTTTTCACACATCATCCCCCTTTTGTCAGCTTCGTTCATCCCTGTGACACGTGACATCATACCGCGTGATCTTCGGATAAGTCTTGTTACTTTGTAAAGTCGTTTCATACGCGTGTCCACAACTTCAATACTGGTCTTGTCTGCAAACGTCATACCCATTTTGTCACGTCCCCATCGACATTCTCACCTTCACGGCAGAAGACGCTGAAGCATCGGGTTTGAAAAGACAACATTTATGGTGAGAAAGTCGAAGTTAGAAGGGTTGCTCGGCAACAAAAGACTCGTAGACAAAATGTGCAATAAGTAAAAAGACACAAACGACGCGAGCGCGCATGCACATTGGACGGTGTCGTCGGGAGCTTCTGATGGGTCGCCGGCGGCCTGTTTGCGCTCTTCGCATGAGCGCACGTCGACACCGGCTAAGCCGACAACAAACGACACAAGAGGAGGATAAGTGGCGTCGTACACCGACACGCCACGCAGCGGCGCTCCCCTAACCCGGCCCATCATGCACCACGACACATTGCACGAACACGGGACGTGTTACGGACTGCTCGACACCGCACCCAATCTCTCGCGTTCTGGCACACAAACAACACATTTGACTTTTGACACATGGACGACTCCAAATCAACTTCAATACATACAGTATAGAGGACTTCCCATGGATATACGACTACGGTAGAGGTTTATGGGTCAAATTCATCTCATTTGATCAATAATGCTAAAGACAGAGCCCCACTGAATTTCATTTGGAAAATGGATTCATTTGAGTGACACGAGTGTCTGAATCGGTTGTTGCCATTCAATTAGAAGCATTTGTATCTTCCCCGTTATTAACTAAATGATACGAAAAAAAACCCACAAATACGTGATATGTATGTACATTATATACTGTATGTAATGCCATGAATGTTTTTTCGTCTTCCCCGCAATCTGTCCGCTCATCATCAGTGGCCAGTAAAAGCTAACAGATCGGACACATGCTAACATGCTTAGCATCCCGATAGCATGTTGCTGCGTTAGCAGGATAAACCGTGACTGACAAAATGCTCACATGCAAAGTTTTGTCACGCGTCGCGCACACGACGCTTGCCGCTCGTTAGCAAACATAGCATGCCATGCTATCTTTGCATGTTGGAGGAGCGACTTGCTTCATCAAATGTCATTTGCGGCTCATTTTTACAAATGTAGACAAATCGCATCCAAGTGACGCGTCGATCAAGAAAAGTTGCTGTCCCGTCGTTTTCATCCCAAAGCGCAGAGGTGAAGTTTTACTAAGTCGAAGCCTGGATGTGATTGGCCCAAGTGGACAAAGACTTTGTGGTCACCCTGCTTCCTCACTCCCATGACGGCGAAGGGTGACGTGTGAAGATATGCCAAAAAGGTCAAAGTGCATGTGTGACAGGGATGGGAAATGAAGAGGCGGAGCCAGAATGTCACCATGTGTCACTTCCTGTGGGGACGTAAAGAGAAGAAACGACGTCTTCCTTTGTCACGTCGGAAGCGTCCGATGTTGGGGGGGTTCCCACCTTGGGCGACAGATCCAAATCAGACGGACGGATGAATAGAGGAGGAGACCGTAGGGGTGTTGGGGACAGAGTCCTGATGAAATTCTCACATGCGAGAGCCTCGTTCCTGCAGGATCTGGACAGGGGAGAGCGACGCTCGGCTGAGTGACTGCCGCCCACAAAAGCCCCCCTCAACCACGTAGGGCCCGCCACCAGTTGGACGCATCCCCCTGAGGGTCCACCCCCGTGAGGCTTGCCTCCCTCAGGGTCTGCCTGCACCCCTTACGAATCTTACCATGAGGACAGGTCCTCGAAGGCCAGGCCGAGTAAGACCCGCCCCTTTAATGCACCACCGTACCCCGCCCTTCCCACCACCCACCTTGGCCTTCTGGCTGGGTTCCATGACGACGCCGTTGGCCGCGTTGTTGAGCTCCCGTGACACCACGCACAGAAACTCCGCCTGGTCCTCGTTGCCGTAATTGTACGACGAGCCGATGCTGATCAGCTGATGGACACAAACAGGAAGTGTACGGATCAAGAAAGGTCAAGGGAAGGGTCACACGTCTTCAGGCTCACCTGTTCAAACTTCCACCCGTCCGACATGGTGGAGACCATCTGAGTAAGCTCTTCCTCCTGGCACTGCAGGACACGGTAGACGTGTTTCACAGGGCCCTGCAGGAGGTCAATGAAAAATGACCATTATCATTTACCAGAACGTCGTGGCAAACACAGCCGGAACGGGGGAGGGCACTGGCGGTAGCTACCTGTGACGTGCGGTTCTCGTTGTCCCGTATGCGCTCCTTCACCAGACGCACCAGGGAGGCGATGTTGTAGAACTCTGCCTCTTCCAGGACACCTTGAACACAAACACACAAACGTGAGCTAAGCGCTTGGTGGACGGTTTCCGGTGTGTCCTACCTTCCTCGGCAAGGTTTTTGTCCATGATGAGCTTTCCATGACGGAGATAGTTCAAGACAGGCCCGAAGTAGGTGGGGTCCCTGTCAATCAAATAGGCTCCTGTGCTGTCCTGCACACAACAACACAAATCAAGACAAAATAGAAAGAAACTGGTACGAGATTCCTCTCCTAAAATAGTGTTAAAAAAAACAAACAACTCATCACATCATACACATTAAAATGTGAAAAAGATCACCATATAACGAGACATTACTCACGAGACATTCCAAGAGCACCACAAAATGGCCATGTCATTATTTCGTGCACTAGTAAACAGCCACTATGTGGTCGAGCTTCGTGGTGCTTGTGATTCGGGGCGCGACTGGGAAGAGAGCAGGCTCACTTTGTCGGAGTCCAGGTCCGGGTGGTCCTGGCAAAGTCGGAACAGGAACGATTTGGGCTCCCTGCACAGAGTCTGCTTGGTGGTGACGAAGTAGGTCCCGCCCACGTTGAGGCGCACCCAGCGAGGGCCCGGTTCGGAAGTCGAACTGCCCTTGGGGGGCGAGCGGCCGGCGGCGGCCGGGCCGAGTGGAGGTGGCGCCAGGCGAACTGAGCTGCGGACGACGTCGCGCTGATGCTGCTGCTGCTGCTGTTGGTGGTGATGGTGGTGGTCTGCCTGCTCGGCCGCTTCGAGCACCTGCAGCTCAGCCATGACGTCGCGCTTGCTCACGACGCTACGGAAAAGGCGCAGCCACAAAGCACCGCGGCTGCTTCCCGTCCGCCGCCGAAGTGCAACACGTCGCCGTAGTCCTTTGTGACGCTGAGCGTGGAGAGCCCGGTGACGTCAGCGGCACGTCTCGCCCGCGACATTTGACGTCGCTCGTGCAAAAGCGACGCTTCCGTGTTGGAACGATGACGTAACGTGGAGCAGCTTGGGAGCTGTAGTTTTACATTTCATTTTACCCTTCCCGGCCAGTGTTTGAAGCGGTTATCAATTAAATATTTTATTTTCTGCTATATGCTATATGATATGTAAAGCGCTTTGTTACAGCTATAGCTGAAGTGAAAGCGCTATGTAAATAAAGATGCATTGTATTGTATATTACAGTATCATAGTATCCATCTGCCTAGTCTTGCGATTTATTCCAGGGCCTTTAGGGGGCAGTGTCGTTCACGTTTGTCGCGAAGAAGCGTAGAAGAAGAAGTGGCCGATGCCGCCACTTTCGCAAACCAAGATTTCTAGCAACATCCCTAAAATATGTAAATGAGTCTCCTGAACGTGCCTTCCCTTTGCGTGCAGATGTGACAGCTTTCTCCTCGCAGCTTCTCCACACACACACACACACACACCAGCTTTTGTCTTGTGAGGAGTCGCGACGACGGAAGTTCACTGCGGTACGTTTGCAATGGCCGGAAAGACTGAACGTATTAGCATGCTTCTCCGCGGGATGGCTTGCAGTTTGCAGCCCTCCTGCACGTCCGATTTTGCACATTGCCACTCATCTATAGCTCAGGATTAACGCTCCAAAGTTGAATGGAGCCAACTGGACTCTTCCTTGGGTGTTAAAACAACTAGCGTCCACTTGATGTAAATGGCGTTCTCGCAAGAAAAGCATCCTGAAGCGATCGAGAGTCACATCATTCATTGCGTAGGCAATAGAGGCATTATGCCTACATTATTACATAATTATTTTCAATCCTGTGATTGGCAGCCTCTCGTCCAAAGTCAGCTGATATTGATGGAGGGACACCACTCTCAATGTGCGTTTCTCAACTCTTTAATTAGTCTCAACTTTATTTAGGTTACAGTATGAGGGTGCCGCGATCAGCTGGGATGTCATGTCCTCCGCGAGATAAAAGCTCGCTATTGCTCTCTCCATCCGTGCATCTTTGAT